GAACCAGCATCAGCCCTCGTCCTTCCTGCTCTCCTCTCCTACATCAGGAGTCTGATGTCATGGGAGGAGTTTGCGCTGGAAGCCACAAAAAACTTTTGCTTGTCGTGTGTTTCGACGCCACGCCTCTGCGCGTTTTTTCACCCTAGCGTTGATTTCATACCGAAGCCATACTTCGCATTCCACCTTTTTTTTTTTTTTTTACTCTGTCGGAGTTAATTGTTTTTACCGTACAATCGGTGGCCAAGTTCCTTGCAGAGACGGAGGTTTTAATACACGAGCGGAGCTTGTGGTTGTATCAGCAGAGCAGGGGAGGCCGCCGTGAGGTGAGTGCGCTCCCAGATAGTTTCTTTGTTGTGTTGCAGCAGCAACTTTTCATGCCGCAGCGGCAGCTGCTGCTCCGCTTCGTGTGCGCTGCCGCTGGAAGTTTTGGGATATTTGACATATTTTGCATTTTCCCGGCGCCGCGTTGCTGATTCAGAGTCCCGTTTGTTTAACAGACAGCCTCTTTTTGTGTTTAACCAATCGCCCCTGACGCAACTGCTTACTTTYTTTTAGCGTCCGTGGTCGAACTTTAGTTTGTAGTTTGTTACGGTTTTATTAGCTTCCGAGCTAACCAGCTAGCGCAGCAGCTCCAATGGATCAATAAAACCTGACAAGGAAGTTTACTGCTCTATCTGACGCCTTTGTGTTGTGTTTAAAATACTTTTAAAAGAAAGTTTACTCGTCTGGGAAGGAGGCAGATTTTGCCAACTTTTGGTGTTTTCACTAAACTTCCAGCCGGCCGTGATTTCACTTTCCCWCTGTACATGCTAACTGCTAGCATTCAAAGTTTTTGGATCGTCGTGTGAGGATAAACAGAAACACATTTGAGGGTAGATTAATGACATATCTTTTCCCTCTTAAACTCTGATTTTTTTAGGTCCGTGTTGAGTTTTAAGTGTGCGGTCACGTGTGATAAAGTCTACTTAATTGTTTGCAGTGTAAGTAAAATTCAAAAAGTAAAGTCTTCGTGAAGTGAAGTTGCCATGGGAAACCGTGTTGKGTGCTGTGATGAAACAGAGCTTGGGTAACTGTGTCCCCGGTGCTCTCATTGGCGCAGGAGTACTGTTGCATGTGTCCTTTCAGAGTTTGCTGAGCTCATAGTTTTATTTAGCTCGATGCTTTACTGGCTTCTCGCTGCACTAAACACCTGACCTTTTGGCCACTGGGAGCTATATTGAAGCTAGCAGAGCCACACGAGCCTTCTGAGCACACTCACGTCCGAGCTCTGCGTCGCCGCACTTTCGTTAGTTCCACAGGGCGGGCGATCATGTTTTTTCTGCACGTGAACAAGCGCGTGTCTTTGTAAAATACTATATGCTGAAACCGATCACTGGACTTTTGGAGTGAACTTGATCCACGATGACTGCCATTGCAAACTGACCTTTAAATAAGTGTAACTTATTTTAACAATGTCTTAAATTATGTTTGGTAGTAGCTGAGATTAATGACTCCAAAATGAATAGAATAGAATAGAATAGAATAGAATAGAATAGAATAGAATAGAATAGAA